GCCCGGTATCCGCCTCCACTGGTCGCGATTCCGAACCTCGGGTATCCCGAGCGTCCGTACGAGCCGTCTAGGATCTCAGAGACATACGCGGGCAGGCCTACCGAGTCGCGCACGCTCTCGTTGACGGTGTCGAGGTAGGAGCGCCACGCGTCCGGGAGCACCTTCTCCTCCCTGCCGGATATATAAACATACTCGTCCGCGCTGAGAGTCTGCCGGAGGCCACTTCCGGCGCTTCGGACCAAGGCTACACCCTCGGGACATGCGCCCAGAGTCGGTGCGTATGCCGCTGCTGCTTCTTCCTGGCATGCGACAAGAAGCGGGCCGCAGAGAGCTGCCAGAGGCACAAGATTGGAGACCTTCATGGGCACCGGAGGCAGATGGCACTTGATACCTGAGCCTGTCGGCCAGCATGTTTATAGAGTCGATAGGCGACTTCTCAAATGGACACGGGACGATGCGCCCGGCTTACCGCTCGATCTCGGAATCAAAGAGCAGCATGGTTGTGAGTGTCGACGTCTTAAGATTGCCCGTTGAGTGGGTTCACGTGTGTCGCTTGGCAACACCAACCCTCCGAGCCGGTCACGATAGTCCCCTGGTCACGCTCTTCATTGACGCACGTGTGACCATGCGCTAAACGGCCTCTCGTGTCGCTGCCATCGTCGACGTGCGGCGTGGACCGGTGTCGTTCGTGTGCCCATGAGCCGGGGAAAGGAAATATTGAGCGGTCTCATGCAAGGCTTCGCCTCCCTGAATAGACTGCCATTGACGCCGAAATGTCAGTTGGAAGAGCAGCTCTCGGCATAAAGGGTGTATAAATACTTGCCCATGTACAGAGTCCGTCGGCTAGTCAGGGGGATGATACCTTCTAATCAGCTCTTAAAGAACGCAATAGAAGATACGGCTGTCGATCCTACGCGTACCTGAGTCGAGTGGCAGTCGAGCAGCAGTCACAGGTATAGGTACGACTGCGACTCCACACCCAGGATCGCTCTCAGCCACATTCCGCTGAGCATAAGCGACTCGGAGGCTGCGTGGGGTACACCAGCTGTGGTTACGTTGCACTCACCCTGTCGACCGGAAGAAAAGTCAGCACAGGCCGCAAGCGAGCGAGGCACCGCCCGAACGCGACACTCGAAATGGTTAGGCACGACGACTCGAGCCCGGCGATAAGTGCATCAATTGCTGATCGCCACAGCCAGCCCGATCGCACTGCCCCCCGCGGGTCCGAATCGTCGCGACACCCGCGCCGCCTTGGTGACCGCACCTGCGCCCGTCGGGACTCGGTGAGACCCCAGCCTGGACGCGGCACGGAGGACTTGTAACTCCGGGGCAGATGACGGGTGCCCATACCTCCCCGGGCCGCCGCAGACGTCGCGCTGACAGGCGTGGTTCCCACTAGAGGCAGAACTGGCGATAGAGAGCATCGTAATGCGAAGGCCGAAATGAATGGCCGTCAAACACGATGGCGCAGGAATAGGAAATGGAGCGGTGAGAGTGTGTGAAGGCGCTCAGTGGTCGCTTTCACCGCCGCTCCACAAGGTCTGGACGTTTTTGCTGACCGGCGCGCAGTTCCTCAAGCTCAAAAGTCAGTGTGTCGTCGAGATAATCCAGGCCCCAGTGTCGCGGGAGATGAGATATCCCTGTGTCCAGCGGCCCTGAGGGCGGCCCTGCCCAGCGGTGCGCAGAGGTCCTCTTTTCGCTGAAGCATAGGAGAGATCAACAGCGCGAATTTGATACTGCATGTCGTTACGAGATGCTTCGCGCCGGAATAGGTCTAATGGTGCGTGTCAGAGAAGAGGCCTGTGGGCAACCCGCGTGCAGCCTGATCTAAACGAGCAGAATCGCAGGCGGACTCACCAAGTTGGGTGCAGAAATACGGAAGGCGAGCGCAAGCGTCGCCAGGCAGGCCCATCCCACTTGGTCTCTCGCCTCCAGATCGCGACGTCCTCTGCTCAGGATTGGATGGTGGCATGATTGTCTTGGGCTCGGCAGCACTGCGGATACGCACATCAGGTTCCCTGTCAAGTTGAGGTCAATGCGGAGTACATGACGGGGTTCGCCCCTTAATAGCCCAGCGCCTTCGTTGACAGCGGACGTTTTGTTGCCATCCCGCCGAGCCTACCAACAGGCATGGGCGTGGGACAGGTCAAGGTCACGCAAGGCCTGACAATCAGGAATCCCGGTGAGGGGTGACTGGCTGTAGAAGCACATGAGACAGCTTTTGTGTACTGATGCTCGCGAGCTCTTTCATCATGCCAATGAGCGTTGCATTCGGTGCTTGCGAACAGCATGGATCGCGATATGTTTGAAATGGGGGATATAAGGGTCATCTCTGGAAAACCAGGCCGCATATAGCGTGCGTTCCCAAGTAGCAGTTGAGCGCGAAAGGCTTCCCGTCGACAGTTTCCTAGCACCCAGCCCCAAATAATTCTGCAATTGCTGCCAAAGCGACCAATCGCCCTGGAAGTCTTCTGACGCGAGACACTACAACCAGGGCTCTTTCTTCGCAAGTAGGAGGTTAGCAGATCAAAGATCTATCATCGAACGTAGGTCCCACCTCGATTAAGTGCTCATCGCAGAGTCCCGTTCCCCCCTGAAGTTAGATGGCCGAACAATCTTTCCGTATCCTCTGAAACTTCTTCCTCAGCATCCGTCCGTTTTCAATTTGATTTTTCTAGCCGGCACAGAGAAAATATGATAACAAGGGACACTCCATAGCCTTCCCAGCAAGCACCACGCCGCGCTCGGTGTGATAACAACTTGTGCTGCAATGGTCTTCCAACAGATTCGTAGATCGGAGAGCCAATGGCCGGGGTTTATTGTGTTGTGGCGTATGATATCACCACGCCAGCTGCGGACGTTGAGCCAATCGACGAGGCCGGTGATGAGCTGGAAGAGCCACGCTACTGTGCCCGAAAACAAGGGCCCGCTACCGACCAAACAGGAGAGCAGCATATGCAGAGAGTGAATGCCGAATATTGACGAGGGGGGTGGGTGCCGTCCGCGCGTCTCCACGCAACTGACGAAGCCCATGCCCAGGTGCGACTTCGGGACCGCCGATTCGGAAGACCACTGCCGCGTCCAGGGTGGAGTGATTCAGCAGCAGTGTTCTGGCGAAGGGGCACGAGCGACGTTGTACGACGATGCCTGATGAATGGAAGAGTCTGGCATGTGGAACGCGGGTGCCCGACCCGGGCGATCCACGCAGGGGGTTCATTGTCGTGTGCCGTCATGCACCGAGAACGACCACCGTGCTACGTCTCGGCACCCACGGCTATGAGAATGGCGCATATATGCCGCGCACGAGGGCTGGGTGGGGGCATATAGTCGGTGTCAAGAAACACAGACGATGGATCGGGGTAACGTACTGGACGCACACTAGCAGCGCACGGCGTGAGGCACGGCACCCCTCTTACCATTCGTCCGGTCGAGATTGGAGGCGAGGAAAACGGTGGCGAAGCCGTGTATTCGGTGTTTGACGGACGAACGTGCGAGCAGAGAAATGACACTTGATGTACAAGACAATGCGAAAACCAAGCACCACAACGAAATGGGGGATCCAAGTCAGCGAGTGATGACATGTGATTGTCCAGCCTTTTGACGGAGCAGAACGGTTAATAGCATTGAGTTGGCGTTATGTTCCCATGGAGCCATCTGCACCGACGCCGTTATCTGCCTGTTCCAAAGCTACGCGAAAAAGGCCCGGCTGCGAAGCAACACATAGGGTAAGCGAAGCCATATCAAAGACGATGGAGAAAAATTACGAAGATCTGCATCTGCACCTGGGTCCGCGTTGTGAACAGCAGCCGTCGATTTGATTTCGTTTTAGTCATAGTACACGGATGACAGAGTGGGACAAGTGCACGACGCACAACGCCGACGAGGTGGACTGACGTCTGATAGAAGACGTTTTCCAGTGAATGCGACGAACAAGTCTAATAGTAAAAGATGACCAACGGGGGGTGTCTGAACCGAATCTGAGCGAAGAGGCTGCTCACAGCGTGAAGCCGAAACATGCCTTTCTTGTTCGTTGGCATTCGGCGCGGCGACTCGGAGGGAGCGGGAACTGGGAAGGATGGGAGCGCGCCTCCTTCCTTCTCTGGAGATAGCGCTCGCGCCGGCGCCCGATCTAGGCCCCTGATAAGGAACTTGCCGACGCCTGCACACAGTCCCGTCCCACGGCCACACTCAGCTTCTGCCATCCGGCGTCCGCAATCAAGCTGCGCCCTCATTGGCAGACAGGCCTGGGACTGCACCATCGGCACCCCGGACATCCCCCGTCGGGTCGCCACAGAATGACATGCGAGGGGCTGCCTGAGCCCCCGCATCTTTCGCAGCGGGGGGCGTCTCGGCGTTCTCGGAGACAGAGTTCACACACCCCGGCGCACGCCGACACCGGCACCCAAGCTCAGCCCGCTCAAGCCCCCCACCCCATCCCACTCCACCTTCCAAACCGCGCACGGCTGCGCGCTTTCACGCCCGATGTCCCCAGATAGGCGTCCCCCGCGCGCCCCCCACCCGCAGCAGACCGCGATCGCCCAGATGGGCGAGCCGCACTGCCAGGAGGCTGCCCGGGGCCGGCCGGGCAGACGTCGGCGGCACGTCGCCCTCCTCGGACGCGAATGCGAATGCAAGTGCGAGCTGTGCGTGTGCAGTATGCGGCTATCCCGGGGCCCTGCCCGCCTTCTGATGTTCGCGGGCCCTTCTCCGTGGGTGCACGCTGCAGGGCGATAAGGCATCCTGCGCCCTGCGCCGCGGCCGGGCGAGCTTCGACGGGATCTGTGGCGCGGGATCGTGATGGTGATGAAGGGCATGATGATGGCCCGCCGCACGATCTCCGCGGGCACCGCCGCGCGAGGTCGCGTTCGGTGCTGGGGCACACGAGCGCGGCGTCGTCGCGCGCCCAAAGCGAGCGCGTCTGCTGGCTGTGACGCCGGCGATGGCGGCATAGCCCGGGGCCGGCCAAGCGACGGGCCACCGTCATTGACCTGGCCGTGCTAGCTGCACTCGGCGCACCTCCCAACGGCATCTGCTGGGGCACGCTCACAGCATAGAACCCGTCTCGGTCTAGCTCTCAGATCTCAGAGCCCAGGCCGCGCCTCGTCAGAGTCCACCGCCCGCGAGATACAAGAGATCGATAGACGCACCAGGGTCCACGAAACCGAGCTGGTCGCGCCACGCGCATGCCCTCAGACCACGGCGACAGACTGAAATTAACGCATGGGCGTACATTTTTTGTTCATTATGTGCGCGGCCCTGCCGGCAGAGCATAATAACACATGCGTCAAAATCAGCAATATTCAGCAACGCATCCCGGCCGGAACATACGCACATGATTCTACCCCCACAGCTGCAGCGAGCAACGGAGACGCGCTACACCATTGTCCACGTCGCCACCAGAAATTCCACCCAGAACGCATCTCTCAAACCAGCGAGAGCGCGAAACGAACCATTGCAGAAATAGACACGCACACCAAAATCACATGCCCGCCTCGCACTCGCTCCGTGCGAAACGGCAAGCGACCCCGCCCGGCGACACACAGCGCACGCGCATTTCACTGACTACTAATAACGAGTGTGCAAGTACAAGAGCTCGGGTACGTAAACGACTGGACAGCCGGCAGTCAGGCGTGTGTGATGGTACAGGCAATAATACTAGAGGTATCGGGCGGAGCGGGGACAGACAGGTAGGCAAGCAAGAATCGATATACGGACCAGACGCAGCAGGAGGTAAGTTAGGCGCAACACAATACACAGCCGAACGAACGAGCAGGCAGATATAAAAAAGCAGGGTGAGA